AACAACCAAACAAGAGACAGAAATACTTTCTTTGGGGTGCTGTGACGGCTCCTTTGACCTTAAGAAGAGAGAGAGAGAGAGAGAGAGAGAGAGAGAGAGAGAGAGAGAGAGAGAGAGAGAGAAATTTGAAAAATATGTATTTAAAATTAATGCATATGACTGTAATGTGACAAGACTGATTTTGCAAGCTATATTTTGTATGCCTAAATTTTCTAAATAACAGAAGTTCTTCATACAATGAGATTAGAGGCTGGTAAGAACTTTAGCCTTGGATTTTGGTGCCTCACAAAGTGGAAATAGAGCCCTCTCAAAAACAAGAAGCTATAAATTCTGGATGTGTTGTCATGGCAACTGAATCACTTTAATAAAGTACAYGTTTGCCTTAAGAGCTATATTTACTGTGATAAGGCTTTCAAAAAGTACATGTCAAGTTGAAGTGTTTTTAAGGTGCATTTACAACTATCCAGTTTGGATTCATAAACTAAGATCACTGTATCCCTAGTCTAAGATGCACTCCCTTTCTCTTCCTAAGCAAGCCATTTCTGCCATTGTTCCCTCCACTGATGTCACCCAACTTCCCATCACTACCAGAACCACTTATGCCAAAGCTCAAGTTCCTAGCTCCCCAATTCTTCGAAGTTAGTGCTTTGGAAAGGATTGTGGTTACTATTAATATTATAAAGGTAAATTACACAACTGGCTAAACAGGCTCTTGAGACTAAGATAAAAAACCATCATTATGATGTTGATTCCTAGGAGGAAAGGTGTTCAGAGTACCAAAATATCTATGTAACAGATGAACTTCTAGGATTCTTTTAGGTTCTTAAGTTAGGAATTGCATAGATTTGCATTTAAAAATGTGCTATACATGCATTTTAACTATCTTGACTTTTTTCTAATCAAAATTGTAACCACATTGTTAGATTTTAAATTATTTGAGCAGTATGTGAAATGCCAGGTCCTGGTAATAATCAGTRTCTTGGTTATGGTGGGTTCAGGTTTTCTAGAAGTTACAAAAAATGCATGTGTTCAAAATTATACTATTTACTGAAATTTATCATGTTCCTGTTAAATGAAGGTCTGATTTCCATAATTAACAAAGATTATACACTATATCTTATTTAAAGAAAACATAAATGAAGATAATATATTGTAATATTTGTTAATTTTTAAAAATAATTTTTGTAGTTATAAATGGACACAATACCTTTACTTTATTTATTTTTTTATGTGGTGCTGAGGATTGACCCAGTGCCTAACATGTACTAGGCAAGTGCTCTACCACTAAGCTACAATCCCAGGCCAGATTTGTTTAAGTGAAGAGGTGCACATCATACTTTCTGAAGTAGAAGCAGTGGCGGGGGGGGGGGGGGGGGGAAGGACAACCTATACTGCATTGAAGAGCAGATAAAATTATTTGATTTAAACTTGTCAGCTTTTAATAAAATGCTAAAAAAAAAAGGAAAACGTTAAACCTGAGTAAAGACAGGTTTCTCTTTTGATCAAAGTTTAATCCAGGATTCTCTGAGCTCTCTTCTCAACTAAGCCTTAACCTTGTCCTTATGTGGTCTCCTGTCCATGCCAGACCTCTATTACTCAATCTTAGCAAGAATCTCCCTATCCTTGATAACTAAGCAAGTTCCTCATTCCCCACTTTTGATGTGTAAGTCTTTGACCTGTCTTTGGCAAGAATTCTGTTAGGTCAGTTTTGCAAGGATCCCTTATACTTGATATCTCTAGTTTTCCATCTATTAACCTCTTCATTGGCTATAAATCCTTACTTGTCCTTATTGTATTTGGAACCTAGCTCATCTGTCTCTATTACAACAGAGGCAACTCCTATCAGTCTCAAATAAAGTCTTCTTCCTTACTGTTCTAACAAATGTCAGAATAATTTTCCCATTAATAGCCATAACCTCCAAAGAAGCTTCCCATAAAGTGCTGAGGTCATTGGATCCCACACTACATGGCAGTTTGCTCTGATATCTGATAGCCATTGGCTTTGATTTCTTCCTGTCCTTCTTAATCAACCAGAGTTGAACTATGATTGGTCTAAGCTAGTCTTCTATTCCTCCTGACTAATAAGACATCTGGGAATTCTGCTGGAGGCTTCAACAAACATCCTCACTGACAAAGGGATTCTCAGATCACCATTTTGCTTTGAACATGATGGCCTGAACTGGAAATCTGACATCCTGTTTTATAGCAGTCATCCCGGGGCCACAATGAGAGGAAGCAGCGAACTAGGATAGCTAGAGCAGAAAGACAAAAGAATTTGACTTCATTATCTTAGATTTTTWAAAAAATGGATTTACTGAGATATAATCCACATACTATAAAATCCACCCTTTTAGAACACTCCGATGGCTTTTAGTATATTCAAGAGTTTCTTTTAACTATTACCCAAAAAGGAATCCCTTTACCTTTCAGCTGTTACCATCAAGTTACCCTTCACTCCTAGCTCTGGGTAAACATTTAATCTACTTTGTGTCCCTCTGAATTTGACCATCTTGTATATTTCATATATGTTAAAGTCATCCAATGTGTTTTTGTGTGATTGGCTTTAACATAACAATGTTTTTAATCCACGTTGTAAATAAATTACTTAATTTATTTTTTAATGCCAAATAATACTGCATTGCACAAATATGTGCATTTAATTTATCCATTCGATACCCTGTCTCTCTTGTTTTTACTCATTTATCCAGCTACCTTATACTGTTTCACATTAAATTTATATATTGATAGTGATTTGGCTTTTATCCTTTAAAATTATTTCAAATATCAAAAGAAATACCATAATAAAGGAGAATAGGTACTGTTAATACACAACCCTCCCCATGCCTGGCTTCTGCAGCCCACCACAAAAGGGAGGATAAAAATTTGTCTTCCACCATCTCTTCTCTTTGCTCATGATTCTTAAATTAGAAACTATTTCAGCAACTTCAAAAAGKATTTTTGAATCTGGTAGAACATGGGCTTCAGGGAATCTTCATAGTTCCATGCGACAATAAAAGGACTTGAGACATTTTCACAAAGCGCCATGTAAAAATTTTCTCACAGAAAAACAAAGTTTTAGTTCAAATGATGGTTCAGATAAACTATGTATTATTTTCTTATCTCCAAGCACATTTTAGTTCCTTATCAATATATCTGAAATAGTAATCTAACATCCCTAATACATTTAATCTTTTGACACTAAGTTCTACACGCAGCCCATTGACAAGTGGAGTAAGCAACTCCAATTTAATATCTTAATCAACACAAT